CGGGATGAGGCTTTGAAAACGGGGAGGGGGGATAAAAACGCGACCCCCCCCGTTTTCTCCCCGGTTGCTTTATACGCTGATCGTTTCTCCTCAGGAGCGGAAATTGAGGAGACGGAGGCGACGCCGAAGGTGCCCCGTCCTCGGAGGAGGCGGTTTCCAGTCATGGACGAGCAAAGTGTTGAGGTAAATAGCATTAATAATAGCAATAATAATAATAATAATGGCAAGAGGGGGAGGGGTGCACCTGTTGGAATGGGGAGGGGCTCCTCCACTCGAGACCGCCCCTCCCCCAGAGGTGGGAGATGTATCTATGGGGGGGCAAACTGTGCCCCCCCAGATGGACAGGGCTCCAGACGAGGTTTTGGAGGGTTCCTCTGATATTAGGGAGGGGGGCCCTGCTTGTTTGGTTATTTATTTGGCATACATGAAAATTATTTGCCCTTCCTGTTGTGGAAGGTCTGGGGATGAGTGCCCCCCCCAGGGCAGGATTTAAAAAAAAGTTATCCAGACCAGGAAAATGAAGGGTTGGAAATCTGCCCTTGAAAACAAGTCCCAAGAAGACTGAGCAAGGGGGACCCAAAGGCAAGATAAATGCCAGCAGCTCCTTCCCTGGCCCTGAAAAGTGTGGGAAGGAGGCTGGCGCCCCAGGCCAGAGCTTTGGAAGCCGGGGCCACCCCTAAGAAGACCCTCTCCTGTTTCGAAGGCCAACGCCTCCTGAGCTTCCCTTTCTCCTTGTGGGCAGTGGGAGGGGGCATGTGCCTTAGGGAGAGGTTGGAAAAGGGTCTTTTTGGGGGGGGGACTAAATGCAAAGTAGTCCCCTCCTCACTTTGGTTCACCCTTCAAAACATTTGGGCTCATACTTTTCATTCAAGGTGGTCAAATCAGGGAAAGTGTATGTCCGTGAATTATTTCTCTGTTTTGGGTTCTCTGCGTGCTCCTGTTTACTAGTCCACGATTTCAGTGTTGGAGGAGAAAACATTACATTGGCACAGAAGGGAGTAAGGAAAAAATTGTTGACTGTTGTTTTTAGTTTAAATAATCCACCTTGAAGTTCTTGGAAAAGCAATCCAGACATATCTTAACAATGTTAATTAATAAATGCTCTTCTCGGATTGCTATTTTGATATTCATAACTTACAACTCACTTTTCTATTATAATAATACTTTCAATTTCTACTTTCCAAGGATGAGTAGAAGGAATTATTGTTCTTTGTCTGTGGGTTGGTATGAATTCAGCACACCTGGTTCCCACATTGAACTCCTTTCTCTCTGTTATATGAGTTGTTGCAATGAGGTCAAAAGAAGAAAGGGGTTCTGTTATTCATGAACTGATAAATCTATTTTTTCAGGTGCTGCAAAACTTCTTATTATTTTTGCTGCAGTGAGGTATTAACCCTCACTCGGGAAATTATTGCATGATATCATAGATCCTGGATCCGATAATTTGCTCACTTCTCCCTGTATGCTGCCTCTTTAAACAGGCAGGAATCTATGATGCTAGTGTTTCTCTATTTCTGTGTTGAAAGTGCTCTGTGCCCTTTGAGAACTTTTTGACACAGAGCTACCAAACCCTGCTCAGATGGGTGAGGTTATAGAATCTAGAGCATGCTTTGTTTTGGTATCAGAACTCCTAGATCCAACCTCAAAATTGCCATAAATCTCCCTTTTCACTTCCAGGATGGGAAGGGACAAAAAGTGAAAGACCAAGGATCAAGCCCACCCTGAACAACATAAGGTCACTGGGTGACTTTGGCCAATCAGCAATCTCAACCTAACAAGGCTGTTGTGAGGATAAAATTAGAGGGTGGATTAAGTATACAGGTAGTCCTCCTTAACGAACCTAATTGGGACCAGAATTTCCGTTGCTAAAAATGTAGTCATTAGGCGAAATATCATGTGATCTCACCATTTATCAGCGGCAGTTCTGGTAGTCCTGGTTGCGGTTATTAGGCCAGGACATTACACTTCTCCTGCCCTGCCATGCTCACCTCCACTTCAACTCCCCCAACCCACTTATCTCCCCCCCATCTTTGCTCTTTTGGCCGCCCTGCACTCCGCCACCTACCCCTGCTGCCCCCAGCTGATCTTTGCCATCTTCCTCCTGCTGCTGCTGAGGTGTGCCCAGCCAGGGCAGTTGTTGCCCCTTCACAAGGTCCTCGGCTGGGTGCGCTTCATCAGCAGCTGGAGGAAGAAGATGGCGAAGGTCAGCTGAGGGTGGCGGGGTTAGGTGGTGGAGTGCAAGGTGACCAAAAGGGCAGAGATGTGGGGGAGTTGGGCGAGTGGGGAGAGTTGAAGTGCACACTGTGGTTGTAAATGCAGGCAGGCTGCCAACTGCCCAAATTTTTATCATGTAACTGTGGGGATGCTGCAGTGGCCTTAACTTCAAGGACTGGTGATAGCTACCATTTGTTCAGCGCTGTCGTAACTTCAGTCACTGAGCGAATGGTTGTTAAGCAAGGACTACCTGTACTACCTTGAGCTCCTGAAAGAAAGGCAAGATATGAATTAAACTTGTAAATACATAGAAGTGCAAACTTTTGATTACACTGTATTCCACAGAATTAAGAGAGAGAGAACAAGAATGAAATGTGATTTGCTTCCGCAACTTTTTGGATCTTACCTGAAGCAAAAAGGCAGTATGGAGAAGAAATACATTCTCCCAATGTTGGAATGTGTATTTTCTGAATCATATGCATGTCAGTCCCTGGACAGTTCTTAGAAACAGACCAGGATGTAGAGTTGGTTTACATGTCCTCTCCTGTTTCAATTGAAAGTTTTCTGTGGTGTACCTTGATTCTGCAAGATTCTGGAGTGTCTTCTAAACAATTATAAGCATGCTTATTTTTTGTTCTGTTTCTTGCAGTGTTAGCAAGATACAGAAGTACGCATGTAGATGTAGCAAACCTTTTTTTAAATTTCTTTGAACAATGACATTTAAAAGTAAGTAAAATTAATTGTTAGTTGGTCCCTCTCTAAATACTCTATTATATAGTATCTCAGAGCAATATAGTTGAGCCTAGGTTTGAGTAAAATTTTAGCTGATGTGAGTAGGATAACATTTGTGCAGTTTACAAATAAAAGTGACACATATTTGTCTTGGCTGTGTTTTTTTTCTTTTTCTTTCTTCCAGAGTATTGCTGAAGTATTTCGATGTTTCATTTGTATGGAAAAGTTGCGTGATGCACGCCTATGTCCACACTGCTCCAAGCTATGTTGTTTCAGTTGCATTCGCGTAAGTAGTACTCACCGTTTTGGGGCCAAGTTACTTATTCTGTTGGAGACAGCAACTGGATTTTGGACGTTATCTGTGTTTTTGAAAATACTGCAAAGCAGATGTGAGTGTTATAGGGATTCTGATTTGAGTGGCGCTGTAAGAAAGACAGTTTTAACCTTTTGTTCTAGTGCCTGCCTGCCTGCTTTCCATTAACTAGTAGCCATGACCAGAACAATTACTAGAATAATGTGTACTATTTCTCTAAAAGGAAAGCAGTTCTGAATTTAAACTGATATTCTTCCAAAAAGGAAAGATTTAATCTGACTTGCTTCCATTTTCTCTGTGAATCCAAGAGGTACATCTCAAAGGTAAATTCTTTTGAGAAAATGTAGCATTCTTTTCAGGTCAATATAATAATACCAACATTTTAAATGAAAAAAACCCACAGTGGAGTTTATTCTAGGGATTATCCTTAAATTGTATGTTGCTGTTAAGCTTCTGAAGAACCCAGAAATTTATTTCTGAGAATGACAGTTGTTTTGGGATAAGTGACTCTCCTAGACCTTTCTGATGTGCACATTTCATTTTGTGAATAAGACAATTAAATAGGGTTGGACCAACATTTAGGATTAAGACACTGATATACAAAGAAAAGAGTCATGACTAACTTTCTTGATTAGTTGTTGTTGATTCCATGCATGACTAATTCTGGACCCAGCCTATAGACTAATTTTGTACAGCATTTTACATTAAAGTGGGCTTGGCTAGTTTATAGGTGACCATGTTCTGGGAGCTCGGCCATTGTCTTAGCATGTTGTATGAATCAAGCCATACCACCTGGTAAGGTATAATTTGGTATTATATTGGGAGTCACTTTCTGAGTGCAACAGTATACAAATACAATAAATAAATAGGGGTATTTTATGTTGTGAAACTGCAGCATTTGTGTGCTCTGTGAATCCCATTCAAGAATAATTTACCGATGTTGAAGAAATATGTCCAAGCATGTTTATAGGATTTATGTTTTTCTAATATTTTTGGAATTCTTCAGTGTTTTATAATGTGCCTGTTTTGTTTAACAGCGTTGGCTGACGGAACAAAGAGCTCAGTGCCCACATTGTCGGTAAGCTTTCTTTGGACTGATGTGGTAATCAGAACAAATGCTTTATTTTAGGTGGTTTTTGTTGCTGATATTCACAATTCATGTTTGGAAGGAACAGACAGGTGATAGGTTATAGTTCAAATTTGGCATATGAAGGAATGTTACCTATTTTGGCCTTCAGTAATTATATAAAAGTTTAATCAAGGTATAATTTTAAAAATTGCCCACAAATGTCACTCATTGAGGAAAAAAGAGCAATTTTCAAAGATTCTGGGAAAGAGTCTGCTCCTTTGATGTCACTTATCACAGTTCTCCCTATGTAAAAGTATAGACAACCTGGGTCCCTCTAGTACAGGGGTTCCTAAACTTTTTGCCATCACACCTCCCTTTAGTGTAATCTTAATGTACACGTCTCCTCTAAAAATCCAAACACCAAAATGAACACAAGTGAACAATGAAAACAATACAATGAAACCAAAGGTGGATTTATTGTAACAATACACTAAAAGGTTCTCCACACCTCCCTGGACTCCATCTGCACCTCCCCAAGGGAGGTATATCTCACAGTATGGGAAACCCTGCTCTAGTAGCTTTGAACTTCAGGTTCTGTCATTCCCAACCATCAGTCATCATGGTCAATGCAAAGAATTGTCTCTGGGTGTGCTGTAATGTCAAATGTTTGAATGCTATTTGTTCTCTAAGTCTTTAAAGTTCTGGCCAAATCCAAGCACTTATTCTCACAAAAAAATTTTTTTATTCTTGGTTTCAAAATTGCTATAAGGCAAGATTGCCCTTCTTGAATGAATATGAAATTATTTACTATTTGTTAATTAGTTTCCTCTGAATGTGAATGAAATCAGAAGGAACATTTGAATTTAGGGCTCCTGAATTGTGGCTTACTGATGAATTCCCCCCAATTTCTAAATGTATTCATTATTTTCATTAAATGTTTCAGCGGCTAGAGAGATTGAATAAAGAACTTATTCATTTTCATAAACCCCAGTCTTCATTTCTATATCTAGTAATAAAGAATGTTATTCTAACTATGTGTTATATTGGCATTTACTGGGATTTTTTTCTAAAGAGCAGGATTTTTACTCAAAACTTTTATTTGCAGAGCTCCACTTCAGTTGCGAGAACTTGTCAACTGTCGTTGGGCAGAGGAGGTGACCCAGCAGCTTGACACGCTCCAGTTATGTAATCTGAACAAGCATGAAGAAAATGAAAAAGACAAGTATGTGGATTTACATGGCCTCTTGATTGAAGCGTTTGTAATGCATTAACCTAAATTCCCTCACAATAGAAATTTTTAAAAAGTTTTTTTTTTCATATAAATAGCTGTGAGGAGTGGATTTACAGTTACATTACATGAGATGCTAAAATGGAATATTGGTATTTATTGTGAAGTTTGTTTTCTATAATGGATGGAGGGTATCTATCACTGGTCAGCTCCTTCTACTTGCTCTGGTAAGTAGTGTCATGGAATTTTTAGATGCAGTCATGGGAAGGCAGGCCTGTCCTAATTTACAAACACAAAAAGCTATGCTACAGAACAGCAAAAAGTTAAGCTAATTAAAAACACTGACACCCCCTCCCATGTCAGTGAACAGTGCCCTCCATCCACTATAGCAAAAGAACTTTCAGAGTAAATACCATTGTTTCATATTCCTGCAGTGGTAGTAGGCATCCTTCACTGGTGCATATCAAACAGGCCCACAGTTTAGTGTGGAAAGGCTCATTGAGTGAATTTGCTTTAGGAGGAAGTGATCACCCACCAAGCACTCTTCTGCCAAAGGAAGCTTGAACTGAGGTTAAACATACAATTTATAGTCCTTAATGAAGGACAACACAGATAACCTGTAGCTGTCTGATGTCATCCAAGGAGCATTTGCTGGAAAAGTAGCTGAATCTCTGTGTTCCCGGTAATGTGAACTTGTGCTTCTCCAGAGTAGCATCTGAGTACAACTTGTATGCCAAAGTGATGAAACCCCTATCTGTTTAGAGATGGTCAATCAACCTACAGTGAAGAAGAGAAATAGGAATGTAAGCTGAAGAGCAGAGCTCATCCATTCAAACAAGCTGGGCTTTGATGGTTCTCCAAGCATCCAATTTGTGCCAGTCCTTTGGCAACCTGGAATTTTGCCTAGAACAGAAGAAAGAAGCATTTGATGGAAGGATAGAAAATAAAAGGCCTTTCCTTTTGCACCAGGGACAAAAAGCCCTCAAGGTGACTTCATAGATAGTCACTCGATCCTCACTGAGGAGCCAAGATAATTTGCAATGCATTTTAGATGTAACCTAAACATTGTGGCTGGAACTGTTCAGTTTCTGTATAACTTTAACGTGGATCTTGATAATGGAAAGGCTCAACTAGAAGCTTGTGAAAAGCAGGCAGAGGCCATGGGCACTACCTAAAGAATTGAATTAAGTCTGAAAATCAGGGTCTTCTGGGCCCGTATGGAACTGCTTACATAACTTCAGACATTTCCTAACAAGTTTTGTGTAAAACTTCAGAAAAAAGAGGAAAGGGTGGAAAAGCTTGAAGAAAATCCAGAGGCCACTCCAAAATCAGGGCATCCATCACCTCCTTTGTCTCTTGAAAAATGGAGCATGAACCTCCTGATCTTGTGATTGGCAGTAAAAGTAAAGAGGTCCATTAGCAGGGTAATTTGTGCAAAGGCTATTTGGGTGTTTAGGAGGACCAAGATCCAGTGATCCTGGATTAGAAGGTTAAAATTAGTTATGCTGCTCTCCCAAATTTCCTGCATAAGGATGATACAAATAACTTATTTTCCTATGCATGGTCACAATATAAGAGGCACAAGAGTAACTGTTCTTTTATGATAAAAAATACCTTTGAGATAAAATATCAAAAGGGGAGTATAAAAGATATGAGATTCCTTATAATGAATTTTGATCCAGATCAAAAATCAACTTTCAGATGACTGAAAGTTCATTACAGAAGAAGAAAACAGTAACATTTCTAATTTAGAAGATAGAAATGGGGCTGAAGTAGCTAATGGAGCCTGTAAATGGCCATGTAGCCCAGGGAGCAGCTACATGTCTGCTGTCTAATCACCCTTGTTAGGTTCCTCACATTAGTGGGAGTGGTTAAATTCACCAGAAAGTAGAGGAATACAGAGATGACTTGGAGAAGATATGTAGAGACTCAGTAAAACATGAGCTTAGACCATTAGTAAAACATGAGCTCAGTTTGGGAGAACAGCGTGTGAAAGAAACTCAAAATTGCCCCACCTTGACTCTCTCTGGTATTAGAAGGAAGGAAGCAGAAACACTGTCAAGCTTTTAGGATTCTGTTTTTATAGCCTTTATCAATAAAGTAGAATATTGGTATTTCTTGTGCTGTTTCCTCATCTTGCCTGCCTCAGAGGACTGACACTAGCAAAGAAGCAGAAAATTCCTATTATCTCCACACCTGAATTGTTGGCTTGTAACTTCTCTAACATGCAAGATTTTACACTGTTTTCTGTTTTTATCAGAATCTCAGCAGTAGCTCACTGTGGCTGATGTCAAGTAAAAATAAGCTTCTCATTAATGACGCTTCCCACATCTTTAAAATTATCAAGGAAAACAAACTTACAATGGCTGCTGTTTTATGTGTCTGTAATTGCAATTTTTTCTTTATGTTTTTTTAAAGGTGCGAAAATCATCATGAAAAGCTTAGTGTATTTTGCTGGACATGTAAGAAGTGTATCTGCCACCAGTGTGCACTTTGGGGTGGAATGGTGAGTGAAGCTTTTTATGTACAGATGAAGAACAAAAAGTTCTCTGTACAATATTTATTTTGTAGAAACAGAAGCACTGCCATTGTTTTATGAAATATTGTGGTTACAGGTACAATTTCTGGGATAACATTGTAGGAGGTGGGGGTCTTTTGTAGCTTACTATGAAATTAGTATAATTATTGAAGAACAAAGTTAGTAATTTTTAAATTTAATATGCATATACTAGCCTGCAAGAAGGAATGGAAAGTTACATTTTTATTTGAGGATGGAAGAGAGAACTTTCCTTCTCTGGCACCAGCTTCATTTTACTCAGCAGAAGGAAAGAATTGCATTGTGACTCTCCATTGCAATATTTGCCAGCATTCTCACAGGTCATTAAAGTTCCAAAATATCATGACTTCTTCATAAGAGGTTTAAGGTAATGTGCCCAAAATAATAACAGCATCCAGTAATGGAATAACTCCTCCTGTTATGCAAGATGATAAATTCACATGTTCTAGTGTTTTGTTTCGGAGGATGCTGCTTTTGAGCACTACCCTTTTCCCTCCTTGCTTTAAAATTGGACTGCAGGTGCAAAGCCAGCTTCTCAGGAGAGGGTACCACAATCAGAAAGTCTCTCTTCCTAAGTAACACCTATGCCTTCCTATTTGGCAGGGGTGTCTTAATAACTCTTACTTCGATCTGTTGCATTGATATAACATTCTTGTAGTGTAAGATATAGCTATTTAATAAAAAATTAATGAAGACCAGTTTTGACAAGGAAAGCATGTTATGTACTTTATACTATCTAAACCTTGAATTAAACATTCTATAAAAAGTGTTTCTGGGTAGTTGATTTAGCCTTTTTCCTGAAATGCTAACTTCAGACATCTATAATCGCTCTTTAATTAGGCAGAAAGCTACGCAGAATAAGTAACTTCAATTTGTATTCACTTAGAGCCTGAATAGATTTTTGTGGGAAGTGTGACTGGAAGAAAAGCCAGCTTCAATATGTTAAAAAGAGCTTCTTCCAATAATAATCTCTGGGATTCATGTGAATAAGAGTAATATGTTCTGAGCTGGTGCAATGAAGCTACCATATTCATTTGTGTCTTTCTAATAGCATGGTGGGCATACTTTTAAGCCCTTAGCAGAAATTTATGAGCAGCATGTCACAAAAGTGAATGAAGAGGTGGCAAAGCTTCGCCGGAGACTCATGGAGTTGATCAGTTTGGTGCAAGAAGTGGTAAGAACAACTCTTCCAGTTTTGATTAATGTATCATTCTCATATTCTCAAAGCCCTGCTGCTGGGATGATGGTACTGCTTGAGGCTGGAAGGTGATTTCTAACCTTGGACAGTTGGGAGAGGAGGACAAGGTGAAAGAAACCATTGCCTTCCAGGTTGAACAATGGTAAACAGATTCTCACCTTTCATTAAGAAGAGATATGAGCCTCTCTATCTCCTGCTCAGCGTTTTCACTCCTTGCAAAAAGTCATTATATTCTGGAGAAGGGACTTCCTGGTTAATGTTTTCAAGATGGGAACATTTTTAACACTGCCCCATTAAAAAAAAGGTGAGCAAAATGTCAATTTAATGCGTCCTAACTCCAAGGAACTTATATATGTGTTGAAGCAAATAGGACCGTGGTTGAGAGACTGTGAATAATAAAACTATTATGCCTGTTTTTCTGGGTTTAGGAGGGGAATTAGAGTGGTATATCACAATCCTGAGGTGTGATCCAATGTGATTTATTCTCCTAATATATCATGGAGGGGGGAGTGAGAGATCCTAGTGACCGCAGAGGTTTGTGTTTTATGTTAGAGGCTATAAGGTTTAGTTTCTCTTCCCTCCTGTGTGGGCCTCTCTCTCTTTCCAAATGAAGGCAGTGTATCGTTTAGCTGCTCAGAAATTGTTCCTGCCTATACTTTGCTTTGTATTTCTTCCATTAAAGCAAAGTGGCTGTGCAGGCTCATGGAGATAGCCAGGAGCAGCGTACAAATCAGCTGTTGAACTTAGAGAAAGATGTGGCTGTTTTAATGGTTCAAAAAGTACCATATGGTACTTTTTGAACCATTAAAACAGCCACATCTTTCTCTAAGTTCAACAGCTGATTTGTTTTGTTTACATGGGGATTACGTTCTAGGGTTGTGCAAATCCTTTAACAGAGATGCTCTGAATAGGTGGGAGAAGATATGAAGTACCATATGGTACTTCATATGTTCTCCCACCTATTCAGAGCATCTCTGTTAAAGGATTTGCACAACCCTAGAACGTAATCCCCATGTAAACAAACAAAGGCTGGCCAGCCAGTTGTAAATTGATGCCATGTGTGTCTTTCAGGAGAGGAATGTTGAAGCGGTACGCAGTGCAAAAGATGAACGTGTTCGGGAAATCAGGAATGCAGTGGAGATGATGATAGCTAGGTTAGATACCCAGCTGAAGAATAAACTCATAACACTAATGGGTAGGTTTACCTTTTTTGGGTTACATTTTAGGGCAGGAATTGAACTTAGCACTGGATAACTTTCTCTTTGTTGAAGGTTATGTTCTCTTGCTATTCATCTATTGAGGGCTGTGTGTCAGTGGTTTGTGAAGTTTAATTGAACAATACAGGTGGTCCTCATTTAGTCATCACTTGTTCAGTGACCATTCAAACTTATGACAGTGCTGAATGACTGGTCACTGATGACCGGTCCTCAAAGTTCCAGCTGTTGCAGCCATTGCAATCAGGGTGCTTGGTGCCTGGATCGCAATTATGACATTGCAGCATCCCGCAGTCATGTGATTGCCATTTACAACCACCTTTGCTGGCTTCCTACAAGCAAAGTCAATGGGGAAGCCAGCAGGAGGTCACAAATGATGACCACATGATGTCCTCGCTTAACAACCTGCGGTGATTCGCCTAACAACGGCAACTGGAAGTGCCAGAATTTTCAGCGCAATCATGTGATGTTACAACCATGTCACTTAATGATGGAAATTCCGGTTTTAATTGCTGTCATTAACCAAGGACTACCTGTAGGTGTGTTTGAGACAAAAGGAGTGGACCTCCCATTCTGTCTCCAGCATTATCTTTTTTTTGGTCTCTCTGATGCCTCTGTCATTGGCCTGGTTCCTACAGCACACAAAGCAGCAATATGGTTTGGTTTTGATTTAGTGTGATGCTTGAACACAGCCATTCTTTTAAGCCATGCTTTATGCCTGAATTGTTGTGTGAATCTGGCCAATTATTCAATACATCATAGTGAAACAAACCAAGGGTTAGAGGAATGCATGAATAAGGTGTTTGTCTCCTCCATCTTCCAACAATAGGAGGGACAGATTATTTTGTAAGAAGGCTGAGCTGCTTACTTGTCAAAGGTGGCTCACCCTTGAGTTCAAAAGTAGTTCTCTTGGGATAGGATTAAGCTATAACTTGGTAAGTCTGGAAATAATTAGACATAGAAAGCAGAATAAGTTGATGTGTAATGCATGCTCTGATTTTCAACAGAGAATAGATCTGCCCTGTCTTGCATGTGAGTCTTTCAGATATTCCTAGGTTGTTCTCATATCTCCTCTTAGGCTTTCTTTTGCAAGCCAGACCTTCCCTGCCCTTTTAAATGTTCCTCACTGGAGTTGCATTCCTGACTCCCCATCATCCTGAGAGTTCTCTTCAGAACCCACTATAGAGAACTTCTCTGTGTCCTTTCTAATGTGTGATGCCCAGCACTGGATATAGTCCTTCAAGTGTGGCCTAACCAGAGCAGACTATAATGAAACCATTACCTGCTATCACCTGAATGCAGTGCTTCTGTTAATGCAGCCCAAGATTGCACTGGCTTTCTAGCACAACATCACGCTGCTTGCTCATGTTCAGCTGGTGGTCCTTTTCTGTTACAAGTAATTTTTTACATTTTGCGAGTTGCCTAGAATTGCAGTTGTGATTGAGGCAGCCTGTAGGTTTGATTGAATAAATAAGTACTTCTAGACCCTTCTGATATGCATTGCTGCCAAGTCATGTCTCTCCAATCCTGGCCCTATGCTTTTGATTTTTCCTACACATGGTGGATGTTAGACTTGTCATAGTTAAACATTACAACAGCTGATTTAGCCCTGTGTTAAAGCCTGTTTGGTTTGATTGCACAGTGCCAGGATAGTGTCATTTTGTTTAGATTTTGGTTCTTTGTCTACTGAATAGGTCAGAAGACATCACTCACTCAAGAAACGGAACTTCTGGAGTCTTTGCTGCAAGAAGTAGAACATCAGGTGATGGAAGCTAGTGTTGTGGATTCTCAATATTTGGAAAATGATTTTAAGATCAGATATCCAGATATTATTACTATGTGTTTAAAATAACAAACTGTACCTGTATGATTTTCTGGCAGTATAAAGTGAGAAGAGCTTGTCTGGATCAGAGCAAAGGTCCCTCTAGTCTAGCATTTAATTAATTGTGATTTTATGTGCTTTGTATTTTAAGGTGGGAGTTCAATTGGTGAATGTTTTGACTTAGGCCTGTGTTGTGCTCCATTCCCTTCCTTACAGCTGCGGTCATGCAGTAAAAGTGAACTGATATCAAAAAGTTCCGAGATTTTAATGATGTTCCAGCAGGTCCATCGGAAGCCCATGGCCTCTTTTGTCACCACTCCTGTCCCTCCAGACTTCACAAGGTACAGCTTCAGCTATTTATGAATTATCAGGTCTGTTGTTTAAGGTCTATATGTTATAATAAAAGGCATTTGAAGCATTACCTAACTTGCATAAGGCCCAGCATTTACACAAAGGATGTGAGAAATGTATTTATTTTTTTAATGAAAACATCTCTGTGATAATAGTCACTATTGTTCAGTGAGTTATGTTGTGTTTTGGAGAACAGATTTGCATATGTAGCAGTCAGAATTTAAATGATTTACCTTTTGAGGTTTTTTAGTAAGTTTTTTAGTTTGGCCAGGGGTGAGCTTCTGAAAATGAGGTATCCTCAAGCACTATATTCTGTATAAACATAATTGTCACATGATAAAAATTTTAACTAGTATGTAAATCCTGGATGCTGAATTGAATGCTAAATACCAATAGAAGCAAGTATGTGTAGCTCAGGGTTGATGTGGAGTCCTTGGGGTTCTCTGAGCTTGGCTGTTTTCTTGCAAACGTTTCGTTAGCCGGCTAGGTAACATCTTCAGTGCTAGAATGGGATGGGGTTTGTTTATATACAGTGGCATGCCCTGCCAGGGTTGGTGGGGGTGTGGGTTTTGTTTTGTTTTATTTTTTTCCCCCTAGTAGTTCCTTGATTAGGGTATTGTTTACTGCTGATTGTATGTCTGCTGATGATCTTGGTGTTAATCTCTGCTTATCTGGGTCATGATTGCTGGTGAGGAGATGTTCTGGTCTTTTGTTTCCTTTTTATTGTCTCTTTTGAATGGTGTGTAGATGCTGTTTCTGTCTATGTGGCTGTGGATGGCTGCCTTGTCTGAATACCAAGCTTCCAAGATTTTAATTGGCAAACTGTTAGCATCTTAGACCAAGCTAAATCCAAAAATGCGAGGGAATACCCTAATCAGGGAACTACCAGAGGGAAAAAATAAAACAAAACCCCCACCCCCATCAACACTGGCAGGGCATGCCACTGTATATAAACAGAGAGCAAAGCCCATTCCATTCTAGCACTGAAGATGTTACCTAGCCTACCTGTTTGCATTTCAGAGAACCCCATGAATGCTAAATCTAGCATGATGTAGAGCTTCCTCTCAACTTACATTCCCATGGAAAGATCCGGGGCAGGGGGCAGGACCCCAGTGTGGATGGAAGGGAATAATTTAAGTAATACAAACTATGCTTGCTTGCTTGTTTTTGGGTTCTATGATACTGCCAGACAGAATATAGCCCAGATAGCCTAGCCCTAGGTTATCGTTATGAATAGACTGGTGACTATATAACCTGTTACCCAATTGTGTGGTTGCAGCATTACATTTTTTAAAGCCAAAGTGCTAAGCGTATGGCACACAACATTGCACTTACAAGGACACCTATGCCTTAGAGCTGAACAGCCTACATTTCTGAGACTTATTCCAAGTTGTCCATTCTGTTGCTAACACACTTCTCCGGGTAGAACTTGGCTATATGTCAGTTGATGCTTGATTACAACTCTGCCAATTAAAGTATTGACTTAAACAAATTTGGGGAGGTGAATTCCTAGCCCAACTAGTTCTGACAGACAGATAACAGTCTTCCTGGAAGAAACAAATAATGGATGATCTGGCTCATTGTGGGCTTATCTCCCACTCACTATCCATGCCAGGGTTGGCAGAAAGAAGAAAGCTCAAGCAGAGAAATTTAGATCTTGATTTACAGAGAGATAGAACCATTACTTCTCATCTCTGCTACAATGACCTCACATGCTCCTCTTTTACAATTCCCCCATATTTGTATCAACTATTAGTACCATCTCACAAGAGAGCCTTCACTTGGCATGTTTGGATGCTCTCCTGTCAGTGGTACTGTTAGGCAGATACAAAGACATTCCTTACCAAGAGGATTTGTGTATTTGCTCAGGCTTTGAAATTGAGACAGTAGTCCATGTGCTTCTGAAATGTCCTATCTGTCAAGTATAGAGGGCAGAGTTAAAGTCCCCTTTAATTGCAAACTATTCAGACCACTCTCATATAGCAGTCATGCGTTACCTACTAAACGCCCAGAATTAGAAAGTCTTCAGACTTGTCACCAAATGTTGTACTGTTGCTATGACAATTAGAAGTTTTTAGACCTGATTGTTTCCCCAAGTGTTTTGGAGGTTGTATAATGGATTTTTTTAAAATTTCTGTGTGCTTCGTCTATGGCCATATATTTTAATAAACTAACTGTTTTTTAAAATCCCACAAGAGAACTTTGAAACTTCCTGGGGTTTAATAGGGGAACGTGTAAAGAGTTTTAAAAAATATTTATTTTATGTATTTTATGGCTCACATGCTATTTTTTTCTCTGCAGTGAGTTAGTTCCTGCTTATGATTCAACTACCTTTGTCTTGGAGAATTTTAGGTAAGAACATTAATTATTTAGAGATGGGTCTGCAATAACTACCACATAATTCCAGGAAAAGATGCATCTGCTGAAAAGAGTGACAGACAAGTGCAACATCTGTTTTCCCACATACAGTGGGGCAAAAAAGTATTTAGTCAGCCACCAATTGTGTCTGAAGTTTGCTAGAGAGCATTTGGATGATCCAGAAGAGGATTGGGGTTAATCAGCTTTTTTTCAGGGGAAATAATCATACTATATAGATGCATCTGCTGAAAAGAGTGACAGACAAGTGCAACATCTGTTTTCCCACATACAGTGGGGCAAAAAAGTATTTAGTCAGCCACCAATTGTGCAAGTTCTCCCGCTTTAAAAGATGAGAGAGGCCTGTAATTTTCATCATAGGTATACCTCAACTATGAGAGACAAAATGGGGGGAAAAATCCAGAAAATCACATTGTCTGATTTTTAAAGAATTTATTTGCAAATCATGGTGGAAAATAAGTATTTGGTCAATATCAAAAGTTCATCTCAATACTTTGTTATATATCCTTTGAGATGCATCTGCTGAAAAGAGTGACAGACAAGTGCAACATCTGTTTTCCCACATACAGTGGGGCAAAAAAGTATTTAGTCAGCCACCAATTGTGCAAGTTCTCCCGCTTTAAAAGATGAGAGAGGCCTGTAATTTTCATCATAGGTATACCTCAACTATGAGAGACAAAATGGGGGGAAAAATCCAGAAAATCACATTGTCTGATTTTTAAAGAATTTATTTGCAAATCATGGTGGAAAATAAGTATTTGGTCAATATCAAAAGTTCATCTCAATACTTTGTTATATATCCTTTGAGATGCATCTGCTGAAAAGAGTGACAGACAAGTGCAACATCTGTTTTCCCACATACAGTGGGGCAAAAAAGTATTTAGTCAGCCACCAATTGTGCAAGTTCTCCCGCTTTAAAAGATGAGAGAGGCCTGTAATTTTCATCATAGGTATACCTCAACTATGAGAGACAAAATGGGGGGAAAAATCCAGAAAATCACATTGTCTGATTTTTAAAGAATTTATTTGCAAATCATGGTGGAAAATAAGTATTTGGTCAATATCAAAAGTTCATCTCAATACTTTGTTATATATCCTTTGATTTGCAAATAAATTCTTTAAAAATCAGACAATGTGATTTTCTGGATTTTTCCCCCCATTTTGTCTCTCATAGCTGAGGTATACCTATGACGAAAATTACAGGCCTCTCTCATCTTTTTAAGTGGGAGAACTTGCACAATTGGTGGCTGACTAAATACTTTTTTGCCCCACTGTACTCTGAAGTACCTGTTTGGAATAGTGTCTAAAGCATTGCATATTAAGGAATGGTTGCTTTTTGGAATTGAGTCACTGTCTCTGTTAGAAGGCTGCTATTATTCTTTGTGCTAAATACTTCTTTCAATTGTCTTAACAGCACTTTACGCCAGCGAGCAGATCCAGTTTACAGTCCACCACTTCAAATTTCTGGGCTTTGCTGGAGGCTAAAAGTGTATCCAGTGAGTTTTAGCTGATAGCATTAAGAAATATTTAAAAGGATGTTTGTTGTGACGTCTGATACATTTCAGTGTTCTAGTCCTATGACTAATTCTGGTATATTGTTCAACTTGCTGAAATTGAGGACTTCAAAATGCAGGTTACTTAATTGAACCTAATATTTTGATGAATGTGGACCAAACGCAGAGCCCCAACATAAATATTAGCAGACTTATTTCCAAAAGAAACCCATTGATAATATGCCATATAGTATGATTATTTCCCCTGAAAAAAAGCTGATTAACCTCAAGTAATTTTCATCAAGTATTAAAGATAAAGCTCTTTATTTTCCAGACGAGTCATGTCAGAGTTGCTACTTAATATGCTTTATTTCTTCCCTAGGGAAAGCCTGAACATTATTTTATGTTTAAGCACTTTCCTATTCAAACAAATTATTTGAAAATATAGCAAAAATAGATGTAAAATAAAACAATCACTTGCATCGACAGGTTGTATAACTTTTTTACAAGACATCCCAGATTCACTGTTTATCATATTTGAACGCTTATGGTCAGCAGAATGTCTGTTGCATTCTGCTTACTGAATAAATAGCAAGCTATTCTGCTGACTAAGAAACAGTGAGCTTTGATTCATTGTGGAGGGCTTTTGGTTAGGTGTTCAGGCTGCCAGCACATGATGTTGTGTATCAGGTGACACAAGGGGATGTGAGGTTTCACTGAACAAGCAATTTCTTTGAGGATTAATTCCTAACTTCTATTTTAATTTTTTGTGAAGGATGGAAATGGAGTGGTACGTGGCTACTATTTATCAGTATTTCTTGAGCTCTCAGCTGGATTGCCAGAAACATCCAAGTAAGGACTAATGCAAGCATCTGATGATGTCCATTGCATGCCTTGCATGCAATGAAAATTGTTCTATATGGTAATAGTAGAGTGGAGGTAGCCGTTATGTGTCTTTACTCTGAGATTGCCTTTTATAACTCTAACCTGGTAAATTGCAGCATCTGGCTAGGCATAATGAGAGAAATTGGAAAGATGACCTAGGTGGTCTCATTTCAACTGTTCTTCCACAGAGTGAAAAACTGAACTTTTCACATTGCACTTTCCATACGATTCACAACCCACGTTTGCAAGACCACCTATTCCAACCAGTATTGGCCCAGCCAGTACATTCAAACAAAAAGAATCTTCTATTGATCCCCCATTTTGGGAGCTAAAGCAAGGAGGCAGTGCGGATGCCATGGAACAGCCTCCCGGTTGAGATCAGGCTTTCGGAAGCCTGGGGATAGAGTTGTTCCAGAGAGCCTTCACATTTTATCAAGCCATCTTTCTATTCTGTTTATATCATTTGTAGTTTTCTGCTGTCATGGTGTTGCTTCACTCTTTTATCATTGTATTGCTGTGGATGTTTCATACTCTATATAAACCCAAGAGTCTCTGGATTGTGGTGGGGTAGAAATGTGAACAACAAATAAATAAATAAACACTTAAGAATGGATTTTCAGTTATATGAAAGGTTGCAAAATAGGGAAATTGGCAAAAATTACTACTCTCCATTTCTCTTTAGAAATCATCTTCTGGATTAGAATTGGTTCTGTGAAATGTGAAACAGTTAGAAGTTTGAAACTGCTGGCTCCGTCCATTAGCATTGCCTGCTGGGTATTGCACCAGACATCGTGAAAGTGTGTGACTGTTAATTGCTCTCAGTTTATGGGGAAAGTGTTGTGTCTTGTGTAAATAATGTAGTTTGCCAGTCATCTTTAGCAAGCTAAGAATCCTGGATTGGGTGCTGTGCTGAACTTGCTGTGGAGAGATACCTTAACTTTGGTAGGGAACAGAAGTGCAGCTGAGAAATTTGCCTGGCTTCCATGGATGAAAGAGGATTCCTCCTAAAAATTTCATAACATCCAAAATCAAATCATGTATTGGACCTGAACGCATCATTCAATAAGTGTAAACCAAAATCGTGGTTCTCAATTCTAGTTTTTTGAGATTCAGTTTTTATCTTGATTGCTTCAGTTTTTCAGGTTAGGCTACAACTGTCAGTAAATTCTTTAAGTCTTCAAAATACGTTTCTAAGGTTGATTATGTACTTGTTTGTCTCCTCTCATTTTAAACCATTTGGTGGCATTTTAATGCCAAGGCACCACACCATCTGCAGTGCCCTTAGCATTTCATGCACAGTCTTGCGTGGGATGGCCAGAACCTGCATATTTCATTTTCTTTATTTCTTTGCTTTGCACTAGAGTAGTACCTTTTAATTATTTTTGTAATGAGAGATTTTGTATACATTTCTACAGTCAACAAAGATACGAATTTGGAATATGTATTCTTGAAAATATAATGTACACTAATGTCTTATAAATCAAATGAATAAAAATGGACTTGTTTGATTGAATTTGTATCCTACTACAATCTTGCAACTCTTGGGGTTTACAAAATGCAAAAATTTAAAACATTTGCAGTTTAATTGAAACAACAAACATAAACTAAATCATAACATTAACAATATACAGTATAATGATAAAAATAACAAAAATAGAAAGTAAAAAAATAAAAGATGGTGGAGTGGGTAAATATCACTGGAATGTTCTCTAGACAAGTTCAAATTTTAACAGCCTTCTGATAGCCATCAAGACTAGGGACTAGCCTGATCTCTATAGGGAGGCTGTTGTGTTGCCACCAAGAAGCAGCACATTCTAGCTTTGGATTAAATTTCCCCCTGTGTAATTCAGTTTTTTTACTGCATTCAGTGTTACCTCTTTCTTGTTTTCCTCACTGCATCTTGTTATATATACCAAAATTTGATCTGGAAATTCCCTGGGGACAATATGGGGATGCACAGGTATAATGTGGGAAGAAACAAATACTTACGGAACCAACCTTCCTTCCTTCCTTCCTTCCTTCCTTCCTTCCTTCCTTCCTTCCTTCCTAGAT